TTCTACTCCCGTAAAGATTTACACCCTTGGAAACCCTGTACAGGGTCGCTATGGGTCGGACCCGACTCGATGGCACTTAACAACAACAACAACAACAAAAATTGAGAAAGGGGTTGAGGCTAACAGAGAGAATCAACAGAATGCTCAATCGTTCAATGCCTTTTGAGTTGACTGACTGATCAAGTGGCCTAGAAAAGGAGGTAACAACACACAGACCCTACAGCTGATCCTGACATTTCTGCCACTTAGCAACATGGATCTGCTGCAACCACTTCCAGAGCCCAGGGCTAGCAGGCCAAGTAGTGGCGTTGTTGTGCTGCCCTGCGCCAGGGGAGGGTAGTGCTACTTGTGCTGTGGTCCTTTTGGAAACATTGGTAGTGTGTGGTATTGCAGGTGAGAACAGCCAAATCCCAGCCCAAGTAGCAACAAATCCTCATACTTCTTGAATTTGAAGAATAGCTGACTTGACAGCAGAAAGTCAGCATCTGAAGCTCCCTAAGTGACAAGTGCGCTCAAAGCAAAACCGACTTTCCATGGTGAAATGCCCCTCCAGGGCTGTCCAGCTTGTGCGTGGAACAGGAGCCTGTGAGAGCAGAGAGGCCATGTAGAAGGAAAACAGCGTGCTCAGTTGGCCCACCAGCACGTCTTCAGGAACCTCAGGGTCCAGATTCACAAAACTGAGGCTGTCATTTCTTCTTTGACGCTGTGCCCTTCATGACTCTGAGTTGCCAGCATCTCTTTTCCACCATTTAACTAAATCCAGCTACATCCCGAATTCATATTTTCTTCGTCTAGGAAATGTCTCTCCACATCACCACTCTAGTCAAACATGACCCCTCTTTTCAGTTGGTAACTACCATCTGGCAGCAAGAGTACTCACAGTTTAAATGATGCAGAGAATCATCAGAGTGCTTGGATAAAATGCAGAGTCGTTGGTCCAAGGTTCCAGACACCATTCTGACTCAGCAGGAATGGAGAGACCTGGGAGTCTGAATTTTCAGAATCAGCCCTGATACATCTGGCCATAGACACCTTAAGATGCATAACAGCATGGTTTTAAGCAGCTTCTCTCTCTCCAGAGGAAGGGAATGATGCACTTGCTAGAATTTATTTCCTCCTCTAAATTACATGTTTAGATGGACTGTGTTCTGGATTGAGCTATGTCCCTGAAGCTTTCTTTCTTTTTATTTTTACTTTTTATTTTGAATTGAGTGAAAGTTAACAGACAAGATCATCAGATTTACATTCAACAAATTACATGCTTTTTTCATCTCAATGACTATAATCCCCTCCCTGCAACAACACTTATCCTTCTTTCTCCCTTTGGCTTCCCTTTCACACCTTATATTTCACAAATGAAGAAAGCAAAAATATTTGATGTACACATAGGGAAAAAAAAATCTCTATATTAATTTAAATGTCCTAAGGGCATATTCTGTAAGCCAGCTTCCTGCCAGCATGCACACAGCCTTATTCTGTCCATGGGTCTAGAGCTCACAGCTATTTTATCTTTCCATGCAATAGCCTCTGCTCCCCCCCACCCCACCCCCATCTCTGCTGTTGCCGCTTTTCTAGATCGGATCTCATGCTCCACTCATGCTCTTCTTTCTTGATGGTCCTGTAATCATCTGTTCCCAAAGTAAAAGATTCATTACTCCCCCTTTTAGTTACACATTTTCTACAATTACAGTTGTGACCATCACAATTACTCCTGCAAACAATTACTCACAATTGAATCATAAAATTATTCTGATATCATTCCCGATTCCCTTCCACCAGATCCATCTGGAGAAGAGGAAAACTATTCAGTGGAGTTACTACTTTACCCGCCTCAATCTGAAACTAAGCACACTCATGAAAATTTGTAAACCAGCCATTTCATGCC